TTTTTAGAAAGTGACACTAGAATCTGACCACTTCAGTCAAAGTCTATTTTTTCTTCCACTTTTATTTCGGTTTGCTTAATTTTCCTTTATTGTGCATACATCACTCATCATCCCTCCTGTCAGCTCCTTTCCTCCTTTCTAATCTACTTCTCGGTCGCGTCTTTCCTCTGCTCCTTCTAATGCACTTTCATTCTGCGCTACACTTTTATTTGTTTTCTATCGGCAGTTAATTTTGTTTTAGGGATCAGCGATCCCATCTAAGAAGGAAGGTCGTGGAAGGGTAAGGCATTGCATTTGGAGGGGGACTCTTGTCTTGGTGCTCCGTTTTTTTAGTTTTCTTCCCCTTTTTAATATGATCTAGGTTTACGGGGCTACTTGGGTCTCGTAAAATTTTCGTACTTGAAAAATTTGATCTTTTGGACTCATTCAAATGTCAAACATTTAACACTTCTGTCAGCAGCCTGTCTACAGGAGGATAAGTATTCTCTTTTTAATGTTACCAATTGATATTTTTAGCAACTCATCCAAAATTCGTTTCCTTTTTTTTCATTTCCTTCCACTCGTCGAGTATTGCAGAGGAAGGCTTCTAGGAAGCAGAAATTTGTAAGTGGATCATTGAATGGTCTAAGGCAGCTGTTTTATCCTTTGTAGTTATTTGGTCGAATCGGTCAATCAAGCAATGCGCCTGCCGTAAGTCATCTCCCTTTTCTTCCCGCGATTCTATGCTAACTTGTCATCGGCTAAATTCATAGGCCGCCTTCATTCTTTGGTTTAGGTGTCAGAAGTCGCTGCCAATCCAAAACAAGTGAGTCCAAAATCCTCCTTTCTGTTGCGTCTGTGCTCCGCACAGTTGCAAATCCTCATCTTCCTCATACTTGTATGCTACAGACGGCGGAAGGTCACACCATCCCGTCTACAGGCGAAGTTGACACTAACAAAGTGAAGGTCGCGGGACACACTGAGGTACGTTGGGCCTTTGTCCTCCTCTTGCCATCCTTCACGGGCGAAAACATTTGCACGGCATCGGCCATTCGCTCCTAATTCCCCCCTAAGGTATCTCGTTTGTCCTCGTCCTCTTGTCTCCAAGATACCTCAACACCCTAAATCATTCACGAACTTGTCCCGCATTATTTTCATTCCCGATTTGCTTTCCGCATTGGAGAATGGGACAAAGACTCTTCAATTAACCCCTTCCACCATCATTCGATCCTAAACGCATTCGTACTCGTTTTTTGCGTCAATTTGGCCATCTCCTTTTACATACCTCTTCATTGTGCCACAATTTTCATTGCTGAACCGTCCTATTCATCCTGTTTTCTAGGAATCCGCAGCTCCATCCAAGAACGAAGGGCGTTCGAAGGTGAGTCGACGCATTGGTTGCAGCTCCTTCATTGACTCGTTGTATGCGCTAAGTACAAGTCTTTCGGCTTTGAGCTGAGCGTGGAGGTGGTGTGAAAGCATTCGTCTCTCGCCTATCCAATTCGCAATGGAATCTGTCTTTCCCTTTAAAGCATTACTTTTCCCCAAGGAAATTTTGGCATTCCCTACTCTCACTTACTCAGCGAGAGAATGAAAGATAAGTGGTGTGCTAGATCGGTGGAGAGATGATGGACCGTTTGGAAGAAAAGGAAGAGGTTGACTTAGATGAATATTTTTACCATTGCGATACGTGTGATTAAGGCTATCGCCTCAAATCATTTGTCTCCTGTTTTGCAGCTATTTGGTCGGAGTGGCCAATCTTACAATGTGACGCCTCCATCCACCGGCAGTCAGCATCAAGTGAGTCAAACACCTCTCCTCGTTCTACATACGCACCTCCAAATCTCAATTCCCCTCATACTTCTCTAGATGGTAGAAAGTCACACCACCACAACCACAGCCGAAAGTCGCACTATCGTGAGTTACTTACACGTTTGCATGTTCTTTGGAGAACTGTCAACGTCTTGTCCTCGCCCCCTATTTCACTCCGTAACCTTCATTCATTCAATTATCCCTCATCATTCTACCTACTCCACGTTTGTCCGATCACCCAGCCACTTCCTTCTGATTACTTTTCAATCGCCTCATCGAGGCAATCACTTGCCCTTCTACAGCTAAAATTTTGCCTAACGAGGCTCTCTAACTTTTAGGAATCTGCGACGACAACCAAGGAGAGCCGCACAAAAGTAGGTCATGCGATTAAACGTTAGCTTCTATCTCTTCATTTCCACTCGGGAAGCTCTGCACTGACATTATGCCAACAGTAGGACCATTGTTGACCTACCCATGTTCATCATCATTTTACGCTACCAAGTGCCATGCGATGCGAAGAGGAGAGTGAAGGACTGTCTAGACAACTTTAAGAGCTAGAATTTGAGATTGATCTCGAGAGCACCATCAGTCTAATTCACTTGTCTTCCCTTTTACAGCTATTTAGCCGAATTGGTCAATCCTCAAACCCCTCTGCCGTAAGTCGAGTTACTCAACATCCAACAATCACTTAATTCAATTCCAAAGCACTCGTGGCGTTCAACAGCGCCTAGATTATCTCAGTTCGGTTTTACTAAGCATCAACGATTTGAGCTAAAACTAGAACTTTGTAGTTCCGTCTATTGATCCACGGAAGAGCACCATTTAAGCAGAGGTAAAGAAAGAGCCCAACGAACGTGAGCATTTCGCAAACAACAATACTTTGTTCAAAATTTCCAGACATCTGCTCACTCCAACCAACCCTCGAACCCCTCTGATGTAAGTTCCCTTCTCGCCCAGTCTACCTTTGGAAGTTAATTCATTTTTAATTGGCTTTCTCCGCCTCTCCCCTCCTCCATAGCCCTCTGGCAAAAAGTCCTCGGTAATTATCTATCTTTCTTTCTTTGGCTACTTCTATATCGGTATATAACTTCATGCATGTTTTGATCCATTCGTAGTTAGTTTCCTACTCAGCATCAACCGACTCCCAAAGCTCCGGCAATAGGGATGGCTTAACAAAGGTAACACCTCTGCTTCCTACAAATCATATTCTTCCTCATTTCACTTCACGCTTTGATAATTCAAAAGTTACTGTAAAATGCCGCCACATTAACTCGAGTGACTTATGATGCAAGAAATAACGCTCCATTTGTAGTTTTTCCAAGGACGTGCCAACGCAAAGGTGAGAAGCCTAAGAACTGCCCTCATCAAGTAAACAAAAGCATTACAACTTTATCAAACAAGTACTTACTCTTTCAGACAACTGGCAATGCCAAATAGAAAACCAGTCCAATGAAGACAAGGGCGGAAAGTCCAAAAATATTTTGCAGCTATCACTTCAAGCCCAGAAACACAAACACCATTTCCAAATTACTCAACTGAGCTTACAAAAGGTCTCATCAGAACCAATATTTCGGGAGGCAAAAGTGTCCCCCAATAAGCCTTTTCAGCACAGCAGACATTTCATACCTATACCCCTTCCCGTACCTGATTCATAATTCGTTTACTTATCCAAATAAGAATTTTTCAAACTACCCAGATTGCTACAGGTCATTGGCATTCAACTCAACGACAGCAGGAAATAATTGTGTTGGGTAAAGAGTCAAAAATTCACGAAATTTGACTCCGTATCGCACAGCTTCCAAAACGAGTTGCTACTACAACACCAGATTTGAAATTGCAGTGATAGCGAATGTAGTCAAAGAGATGCCCAAAAAGAGAACATGATTAGAAGCAGAACTGCAAAAACCGCAATATTATTGCCAAAATTCATAACTGCAGTTGGTCCTGCCCTGTTAGCAGGTCCTAAGTTAATTTCAGTCGTACTTAGCCGAATTGATTGCGTAATGGGGGAAAACAACTCGTGGTGCAAGTGCAGATACACGAACAACTTCCACCACATACACCGATGTGAGAAATACAAAGCCTGTTGAGATCCAATTCACCGAAAATAACCAGATTAGGATCAGAAAACCTACCCAAGAATGGAACCTTCCCATTAACTCAGCAAGGTTCGAGGTACCAGCAAAACCAATCGCATTGTGATTTATTAAAAACGGCACGAAAAGGCACGTAGGATTTGATGAAAGGGCAAAAATAACTCACAATGACTTAGCATCCAGGAGTAGCAATAACGCTACCACCGCCTCCCATTCAACAGTGAAGAAGTTCATAGACAGTGTTCATAGAGTTAAGGGTTAGTTAGAAATCAACATTAGTAACACAGAACGACTTGACGACTACGAACGGCGCAACGCAACGGAACTTTGAAAAGACACCACCGCGTTAACCAGTGCATTAAATGAAGCCATCTGTTTTAGTTGCGTAATAAAAGACTAATTAAATATTGCTTGCTAGTTATTGAAATTGACGGCAAAATTTTTTGATTATGCGAGAAATCACATAGTTTTCGCATAAGCGCAGTCATAGTGGGTTGCGCAACCTATGTTGCGCAAGCCAAAACAATTGAACAATACTAAAGATATGTAATTAGGTTACCTTATTTGACGTTGGCTAAGTATGCTGCGACTTTTTCAGCTAAGCTTCCACACATTGGCGGGACCGCCATATTTAAAATCGATTAGGTTTGTCGTACCCTAAATTTGGTTTGGTAGGGCGATGCCCTTCAGCCACTGCCCAGTCTCAAAACTTGTGCTTTAATAATTCTTGCTATTTGTCGCTTGCATGAGAAAATGTATATTTTGAATTTTTGTTTGTTGCTTTGTTAAGAAGGCGTTTTTGTAAATTGCGTTCATGGTTAGTTTTTGCTCCCGATTTAAAATTTTTGAATGTGATTGGTGAGCTGTTCTTACCTACATTTCTATGACCCTACGGTTTTTAATTAGTTCTTCTACAGAACCTGTTCAACCATGGTGTCTATCGGATTTGGTGTTTTAATCTAATCGGCTGTACCATTAGAGTGGCTGTAATATTGTGACGTGTTTAGGATCGTGTTTTTCTTTCTATTCATAAGCCATGAGTTTCTGCCATTTGATTGCTCTCTTTCTGGTTCAGTCACAATCTCATCAAAGTTTGCTGTTCCAGTTACAACAATGTATAATAACTCTCCAACGGAGTCGAAAGATTTGTCGCATCGACTGGCCAAGGCTAAACATGCTCTTATCGAATCTCCTATCAGTCCCATAAGCGTGAATATCGCCTCACCACAGAGGAAGCGAGCCAAGATCATTCGTTTTACCACGGATGATTTTACTTGGCAATGTTGGCAATGTCTTAGCGCCTTCTCCAGCAACGTGGATTTGGACGACCATCTGAAGGACTGCGACTCTCGTAACGCTGCGGAGGGGGATGTAATTCTGCCTATGGGCGATTCTTTGCCTGGTTGTCCTTTTTGCCCTCGCGATGGGTGTCAAGCAGAGTCCAAACCCTACTATTTTCATGACTTCAATGCTCATGTTGAAAGTCAGCATCCGGAAGTGGAGGAACTCTCTTGTCCATATTGCACTGACAAGATCCCTTCGTCACGTTTGGAAGACCTCACTTCGCACATTCTGCTCGATCATCAGATTCATTGGCGTCCAAGTCCTGGTAAGACATTTTGGTCTTTTAGTTCAAAAACTATTGGTCATGCGAGTTGGCAATATGGTGCAAAGTCTCCTTCGGTACCTTGTTTTGCTTGTTTATCTGATAAACTTGTATTACTGAAATTCAATCGAAATTATTTAAGGGTTTTCGCCTTATGAACCCTACCTTTGGTGTATTTGATCTCCTTGCAATGTTAGGGTAGTTAGAAAAGGAATTACTGCTATGGCCTCTACTTCACTCTGGAACTAGCAATGTTCGTGAACCAATGTTAGCTTGAATTTTTTTGAGTCTTCCAAACTTTTTTTCTGCGATGACAGTCGAATGTTGTATTTTGACCTTGACTCTTAAATAAGCTGGGTAGATCCTGTCCTTCACTCACTCAATTCAAATTCTACCAAGGCGAGAGTAAATCCATAGTGGTATTTGTAGACATTGACAAAGTACTGCTACATTGTTATGGCTTCCACAAGCTTGGCACATATCCTTTTGCTCGACCTATAGGAAGACTCTGAGAAATCGAGTTAGTTTCAACAGTCGTTATGTTGTAAGTCTAACCTTTCCATAGGTGCTTCTCAAATGTAATAAGCGGTCAACAGAGCCAAGCATGCGGCATGAATAAGATTTAATGTCTCGGATTTGAGGCCAAATCAAGGGAAATGGAACATACTTGTGTGTCTAAACATACATTCAAACGACCACTTTTCTGGCAAGCATTTTTGTTTTCGTTCACTTCACTATTTTGTCTTAGGGTCACCTTGTAGCGTTGACAAATTTGTCGAAGCCCTAATCAGTCCTTTCTATTTGCCACTAAGCCGGCATTGAGTTGATCACTTCCATCGACTTCATATAGCCCTGAAAGTAAGGATTCTCCAGTAGATGATTTTTCTACTTCTTGGCGCAGTTCTTTTGTATTGTATAGGTTTAATTATAACGATAAAGGATTTGTATTGCAATAAGAGCGGAACCACTCTTCATAAACTTAACCGGCATTGATGAGTACAATCCAATTTTCCATTTTTGGTTCTAGTGGTGGTTTTCCCCTTTTTGCCCTTTATTGACCTAATGGTGGACGATTAATGATTTTGCTGTCCAATGGCCTATCGATAACCAGAAAGAACGGAACTTAGTAGTGACTTATCGCCGGAATGTAGTGTTGATTCCAATGATTTTCCCAATCTAGCTTCCATGGTGTATCAGCGCACTGACGATGTGGCACACCGCGTGGTAACCTGTCTCGGGTGTGGATGGTGTACCTTCGTTCTGCGCGCTCAGGATGCTGTACAACCACCGGCGTCGCTCGCCTCACATATGTCACGGTGCACCGGTCGCGGTGCCCGCCTCTCTGTGCCTCGTCTTCCGTCCTATCTACGTCGGCCCACTCAAGTGCCAACTAGAGCTCTAGTCTCTGCCCTCACAGCCGCCTCCACTAGCGCCAGTCATGCCTTCGCGGTACGCTTCCCTGGCGTCCGCGGCTATGTAGCTTCCACCTTCGAAACCGCTGCTACCGACACTGACACTTCTTCCTGGTCCGTCATAGTAGGTGCGGAAGGCGATGGCCTCCCCCAAAAGCGACCCAAATACCAATCCCCGTTAAAGGTGGCTCCACCGGTTTCTGCTGATCTCCCACCACAAACATCGGAAGTCAGTGCCAATCTGGAGGAAGACGAACTAGAAGCAAAGAAAGAGAACAAAGAAGGGGAAGAATCAAAGCCAGCTTTGGACGAGGAGAAACTCACTAATGGGAACGTAAGTAGCATTCGGATTTATCGTCTTCAGGCTATTTACTGAATGTAGATTGCTAAAGCGTTTCTCACCAGTATTTACATTTCATGTTCTCCTTACGGCTAGCAATGTTTCGCAGACCTGCTTTTCAAAATTTATCTGGGAGAATTCACAGATATCTTTCCAGGAGATTGTTCTTAGTCTATTTTAAGCATTGTGAAGCCAAGTGCTTTGCATTTGGTCTGTTTTTGCTTTACTCCGACGATTAGATCAGTCTGCGGAATCGCTGTAGCCACAACTTGAATTCCATTGCTTTTCAAACTTCTGTCGCCTGGTTACCCTTTCAAGCAATTAATTTTTGATGATTGAGCGCAGGTTCACAAATGCGTTCGACGTGAACCCATGAGTATGTGAATTGGCTCTGCCATTGCTGCTAAAAAGTAGGAATACCCTTCTCGTGCACCTAACTTTAATTACGTAGGCTCCACTGTCTGAGGATGTCCCATTAACGTCAAAAGTCAGTCTGCCTACTTTTCGGTTCCTGTGTCACCGATAACTTAAAGTGATTTTATCTTTACCGAAGTAATTGAAAAAGTCTGGAAGCACGCTGGTCCGCGTCGTCACTGCATTCATTGATGTACCTTTTGTTATGTGAATTTGTTGAGTTGAAGTTGATTTGTGTGTGTTATCTATAGGCGTACTATAGTGGCGTTTAACTCAGTACCCCCTCTAACGTCACTTTGGACATGGGAGCCTTTTGCATCAATATGTCGCAGTCATTCTCTACATCGCTAGCTCACCTTGGCTCTGCGTATCATTTATCTCAGTATACCGATGGATGGGCAGAAAATTAATTTGATCCTACTAAATGTGTCATTACGAAATATTTTTGACTGCTGCATAGATTTCCTATTTTAGGCGTCAGTGACCTCCGTCTCTTTCGTGATCGAACACTTGCCTTGGCCATAGCAAATGTGACTAAGTTACTGTCACTCGCAAAATCAGATGAGAACTGTTAGAATGACACTGCTTCGTAGAGAGAGCACTCCCTTTTTTATCCATGTTTGAGTTTTGGAAACGTTGAAAAGGTACCAAACCATGCATGGCGTATCATTTCGAGCGTATTTTGAACCGTTTTTTACCTCGTATTTTTGTACCCTTCCAACCCATCCATTGTATGCGCTCTTTTCAGTACTCAGGATTTTTCTTCGTCTTGAACAGAGTTTGCCGACAGGTCTCACCATCTAGCAGATTTTTACTGTCGGCGTTCTTTAGATCGTAGGATAGGATACTATGTTTGCAGGGCTGTGGAAAAAGTCGTATTGCCAAGTTACTCGTGTTGGTCAATATCTCGGATTGTTTTAGGAGCCAACACTATCACCGCAGCCGGCAACAGAATCGGAAGCCCTTGTGAAACCGGAGTCACCCTCTCCAATGGAGCAGTCACAACCAGAGGAACAACAGCAGGAAGTGGAAAAGGTTGAAGAGAAAGAAACTGAGAGTGAGACAATAAAAACTGAGAGTACAACCAAAGTTGAGGATGAACAACCAACGCCAACACCGCAGCCACGCAAGCGAGCTACAGCGACAACGCCGATACCAGCTCCTCTGAGAAAGAATATAGTTCCCAAGGGGGTATTTGACGTGCCTTTGGACTTACCTCCTTCACCGCCTCCATCTTCTACCACTGCAGCGGATGGCACCAAAAAGCCGGCCTCGACTCGAGTCTACGTATGCCCCATCTGTGGCGATAACGCACTATCGAGTCTGCGTGAACGGGATAAGCATCTGCAGGTGGAACACACGGGAGAATTGGTCTTCCCATGTCAGGTGAGTCAGGGGAGTCATAACGCCTGTTGTCTCAAAAAATTTCTGGCACTGGTAGTAGGTTGTATTAATTTTATAATGCTTTTGTTTATTTCCTCAATAGCTCTGTGGGATGGCGTATCCTGTCTACATCGCCCTGCGTCGTCATGCCGTACTGAAACATGCTGCCAACTTCGATGCAGTACTCTACGGACAGCCTGACATGGAGCCGGTAGAGTGCCCTTATTGCGAGCTGGTAGCCTTCACCTCACCCGAGGTACTCCAGCTCCATTTAGCTAAAATTCATCCAGAGCAATTTGAACAGCAGGCAGTGGTCTCCGCTGTCGCCTCCGCTCTTGCTGCGCCTGACTCTGACTCAGATGCTGGGGGCGGTGGTCGAGGCGCCGATAACGATGATGAAAACGACAAGGACTGGGAAGTGGAGAATGGATCAAAGGGGGGTGGTGTCTCCAGTGCTCCAGCTGCCAGCGCTGCTTCGGTCATTGCAGCTGCCACTAGGCTTGAAGGTGTCTCCGGAGTGAGGCGGGGCAGGGGAAGAGGTGGTTTTTTTTTCCGTTACATTTTTAACCTTTGGTAATCCATTGGGTTGAATAGACTAATTTGGCTTTTTTGCTCAATTTGTACTTCGTCTCTGTTTTTTTCTGAACAGTCGATTGTCAAAGGTTCTAAGGCTGCCAGAAATTCTAGTTTTATGTGTCGCCAGAATAAGCATCTTGGCAGACCTCATCTTGAAACCTTCGTAATTATCAATGGTTATTTTGTTTAATTTATCACTGCATCACCGGCGCAACTTGGTAAGTCACAATGTACTGCCATATGGCATTGGAAGTGAAACCTTGAAGGAATCTAAGACGTTTTTTTGCCGTCTATTTGAAGGACGAAGGGGCCGTTCAAAGTCTCTAGGCGCTCCAATCTACACGCAGGCAGATCTTTTGAACGACCCAGACCTATTGGAAAGTGTGGAGAACTCCCTCCAGATGCGCAGGTCCTTTACACCGGGACGTCGAGGGCGTGGAAGGGGAAGAGGTCGTGGTAGTGGCGGTGCCAGTGCACCGCGCGGTCGTGGAACAGGGCGTCGTGGACGTCCAAGGGGCTCCTCGCGTGCTTTCGGCATTCATACAGCGGCGTCCGCGACAACAGTAGCCACTCTCCACCAGTCTATAGCGTCGCTAACGCAGCAACAATTGAACACGTGCACTGTCATCACTGGCTCGTCTGAACACTCAGTTGAGGGTGTTGCGATTGCGCCGACCTCAGTGATGGATGGAATGGAACTTCCACCGCCACCAAATGCGGTTAGTCCACTGGAAGTGATGCTAGCTCAGGCGTCTCCGGACCACGCCCCGGTAACTTGTCGTCTATGCGGTCCGGAAGCCCAGGTTGTCCTGGACAATGCCAAGGAGCTGTACATTCACATGGAATTGGTAGGTTGCATGTTTGACGTTCTCACATAAACTGCACGTAAGTATAATGAATACCCTTTTTACTATTTGTTTGCTGTTTTTATTCTTGTCTAGGACCACAACCCGGAGTCATCTTGTGAGCAGTTGGGCTGTCAGGCCTGTGGCCGTATTTTCTTCGGTCCACATCATCGTGGAGATCTGATCGGCCACATTCGCGTGATGCATCAAGGGCAAGAAGAGGCAATGCCTTGTCCTAACCACGCTGCAGAGGGCGGTTGTGGGGCCAAATTCACTTCCACACGTCTTCGTGATAGCCATCTGCTGGTGACAGATGCTCCTGGCTGGTCGTGTCCACTTCAGTTAGCCGCTGAAAGCCTCCAAGCTGTCACAGAGGTCGCAGAAGCAGGGGGTGCAGCTGCTGAAGCCTTCGACACAATGGTTTTAGCTACAGAAATTGCAGCTGATGCAGTTGGGCAGATGGTTCTAGCCTACGGTTGTCCGCTCTGTTCAAGAGTATTTGTCGGACAGAATTGCACCGCGCGGTACCTGGCGCATCAATCGCAATGCGGAGCGGCGGGAAGTGATGAGGTAGTAATGATGGAATCGGACCAGCCGCACTCGGTGGCGCTGACTGCGGCGGAAAGTACTCAATAACAGTAGTGGCAGCAGCCTTGTCTGTGTAAATAACTCGGCGCAGCCGATTTTTTTATACGAACTTTTCGTGCGAGAGTGTGGCATGTGGTATGATTGTGTCTTGACATCCTCTCGATTAAAGAAAAAATTGCGCTTGCGGCAAATCTATCCCTCTCTCTGTTCCTCTCCCCACTCTCCCAATGTCTCTGTCTGTGTAAGTAAGAACGCGTATGTATGTATGTATTTGGGCGTTAAAACCACACTGCAACTGCTGCCACCACTCTCATTCATTGCACCGACCATTTATTGCGGGGTCTTTTTTTTCTATGAAGGATGAATGTATACCAACAAAAGTAATCATTACTCAGATTATAGCATTCCCAGAGGTGACTTCTCATTTTCCATCTCTCTGTTGGCCCCGGCTCATCTCTTGAGGAACTGGGGGTGTGGACTTCGATCCTCTAGATCTGGAAACCATCAATTTTATTTAGTGAAATGCAAATTTTTGTGCCACTTTGAAATAGGTGGGAGAATGTGAACTCTCAAGTACTTCTGCTACTGGTTGTCCCTATTGGTGATGGCTTGGGTGTCTTTTTTCTTTTTGACCTCTGTTCCAGTCGGCTGGATTGGGAATTGCTGAAAACATAATTGTTAGTCACGAGAACCGGCATGATCTTGCATTGATCCTAAGGGGATGTCGTCGCGGTTTTGCATTACATTTGGCCGTGGAAGGCGGAAGGGGAAGGGGAACATTTTCGTTGCAGATTTTGCTTTCGCTGGAGGTCTGGTCCCAAGCCCTTGCTATCCTATCTCTTGTTTTGACTTTTACATTAGACCCAAGGGGGTGAAGAGTATCAATCGCCTTCTGCTATTGCGTATGGGTAGTTACTCTCTAGCTGGCAATAACATCCCAATTAATGCAGATGCGGGGCGGACCATGTTGTGATCTGTTTTTGGCACGATGACCTTAAGTCGGTGTTTTAGTAGACGCTGTCAGAGAAAGCAGGGTGTGAAATTGTGCGATACTTTAGTCTTTAGGTTATAGGGGAGAAACGCGAAGGACTATTGCAGAAAGGGTCGTAGGATGACTCTAATTTTGTGATTAAACTCAAAAAAGAATAGCTTTAATTGAGGTATATAAGGCGCACAAATGTAATACTTTGTTTATGGAACCCTCTAATGTCTGGGCCAATTCAATGCCTTCTCTAACTGGATGAAAGTCTCCGGGGTCCACACGGTACCAGGACAACGTTAATTTTATGCTATTATGGTAAATTCGACATTTTAAAGTCTGTCACAGTGCCTAAGGTTTTAGGCCAAGTAACAGTGTGTGTTCTTATCATTAAAAGATGGCTAGTGAACTGAATAAATTGTGAGGAGATTCCATAGTGGGTGGTTCCAGGGGAATCAATTATAAAGACGTTCATACAGTTCCGAGCTTTTTGACATACAGGATTCCAGGCAAACGATGCCTCATAAATGTGTGGCACGAATTGGGATTTTGATCATTCTCAAATGGGATGATTAGCATCCAGTTTAATTTTATTATGAAAGATGATCACCACCAATTAGGTTTATAGTCATTTCGAATTACTCATTTGAACTGACAGAGTCTTCAAGGCCTGGTCCTGCATTTAGCTGTACGTTTTGTTGTTATTTTTCTTCCTTTATGGAAAGAGATGATGTGCTTCCGTTTGAGGAGCGGTGGAGCCATTGCTATGAAGGTAAAATCATCCGCACTGAAGTCATTAACTTTATTCGCGTCTTCTTCCAGAAATCTATGCGCTTACCGCCACTCGTTATACTAGGTGGTTTCAAAACTTAGAGCTAAGTTTTAATGGTAATTATTTGCAATAATTTACAACCATAGCCCAAGTAATGACCCTTGTTTAGGAAGCTATCATCCTATCCACTATGTGCTACGCCAATATTTCACAATTTGAACCAATGTTGTCAGAAAAGCAGGTATTTGCTAAAGCTACATTGGTTTGTATACACCCTTTCTATTGGGCAAAAGTTAGGTGTTGGACAAGTGCTTGATTGTGCGATTTGTCTGTACTTCATAGCAGAAAAATGTTCTGGGAAAGTGCAGCTGTTCCACCCCAAATAACAGAAGTAGTTTTCTTTTTTTTTTCGTGCTAATCAATTCTTAGGAAACGTCTCTTGAGGAGTTTTTGGATGATGACTACGTTATACAGCATGTTATGGCTCGGTGTACTGAAGTCATCAATTAGTAAATTCGAAATCTTGTTTGGCAATTGCTTTAGCCTCTTAAACGCCAATCGTATATCGCATCTCATTGATTTGGTTACTGATCAGTCAAACATTACGTTTGACGCTGTTAGATTCAAGTAAGCTTTCTGGTCTTTGAATGCGGTGTTCTCAATTGGTTGTTCAATGCCCTTTATGTGTTTGATTAGTATGTTGTGCATTTTTGTTTCAGTCTGTCTTCTTTATGCACTCGTATCTTATATCGATTAACCACCTACTTTTCTGACCTTCACCTTTTTTACTTTCAACAAGCTGACGCCGAACTTATGCTTCTTCATTTACACTTACTTCTGGAGCATTGAGAATCTTTAGCACTTGTTTTGCCCTCCAGCAAAATTCTGTTGTTTTCCCCCCTAGGCGTCCCTCTGTTGCGGCAGAAATCCTCTCCAGTGGTGTTCCTGCTCTAGTGGACTTTCTCGTCTCCACGGGCTCCCAGACAAGTGCCGGTGATGTCGATAATGTCCTCCATCCCGGCCCTATGCCATTTGTGGAAAGTCTGTTGAACTTTCTAGACGCAGCTGCTCCACTCAACCCCCTTTCCGCCAGTTTCTTTGTCAAAATCATGACCAATCTGCTCTACTCCAAGGCCTCAGAGGTGCGTTTTGACTTCAGAATGGTTTTGTTTTAGTGTAGCCAATGTGGCGGAACTGAGCGAATTTGCTGATTGACAATGTTTGCAATTATCGTTGACTTATCATCTCCTTATATCTTCGATATTTCGTACTTCCTTTCGATTTCTTTTTATTTGTTGCTTTCCTTTTGCATAGCATACCTCACCTTTACTGAATTTAAATTTTTTTGCGTTAATAGGAATAGCGTAATCATAACTAAATGCACTTTTTTTTATTTCGGTTGGCCAAGTTGATCACATAAGAATGCGATTTTCTATTAAATAATCTTGGTTTTCGAAGTGTGGCACGATTTTCACTTCCTCTCCAGTCATTTACAACTTTAGTAATACTATGTCCATCGCTTTTACTGAACTCATTAATTATGAAGAGTTGAGATGCTTTACTTTGATGGTGTTCTATAGCAGCATTACTTTCAATGTTTATTATGTGTGCTCGTTGTTACTGTTACTAAGTCATCTCGATACTAATCGGGCCACTTTTCTGTACCCATCGCTTCGGCGTCAGGTCGACTTCGCGTCGCATATTAGGTGTCGAAAAAATTCTTGCATGAGTTTGTGTCCTTGTGCTCTAGGTTTCACACTCGGGATGAGTTTGTGCCCTGCTATTAATCTGCATCAGGTTGGTGTAGATTTTCATGGGTCATTTTCCTTGCTAGTGACGGGCTCGTTCATCTTGTATTGTGGCTCGAGGTATAAACTGATTTGCCAATCGCATCATTGTGTTTGCATTCTTATTTCGTTGTCATTGGATTGTTCATCTGTATTTTAAGATTGGTATTTGAAATACTGTTCTTAAGCTCCTTCAACTTGTCTCATTGCTAATTCAAAGAAAGGCAGTTAAACAAGAATCAGTAGACTAAACGTCTGTTTTGTTACGAGGACTGTTTGCCTTTAGTTCATATAGGCGTAATTTTTCCTATGTTTGGGCTTATTTTCCCATAGAAGTTCATTGTGTAGTGGGAAGTTATGTGAAGGACATGAAGGCATTTTTCCTATCCACCTTCAACTGACTTACGCACAGTTATCACTGTGGTTCCCTTCCTTTTCCATGCCCCATATTACCGGCTTTTTTGACATCCATTCAAGGTTGAAATACTCAAATGGTGATCCTAAAGTTCAAATTATCCTAACGCTTAGAGTGCTATGACTAGTTTGTGCTAAAGCGATGCCTGAGTTGTTGGTCCTCACTTTCTTTCCCTCTAAGATGTCTGCTCATCTTTGCACTGATATTATTACATTTTGGTCTGTAGATTTTGAGCACGGGTCAATGTGTCATCATTAACATAAAGGCTATTTTTAAGGTTGGCTGAATCCGTTATGCCCCAGACAACTGATTTCCTTTCCTTTGAATTTATCAAGTTGTTATCTATTTTATCCTTTAATATCCACCCTCTTATCAGAGGACGTCATTTTGCCTGTCTTTTTGCTAGTAACTGAAATTTCTGTATTCTGTCGTGTTGCAATACATCGAAATCAGATCAAAGCACTTACGAACGAAAAAGTACTTAGCGCGATGTGAGTGCAGCTAGCTAATGAATAAACTCACGTCAGTAAGGAGTTTGAGTAGGCAGTTTCCTTCTGACAGCTTGTTCTAGTCCTTACCGTAAGAGGAGTAAGTGAGTGAGCCACAGGTTATTAGGACAGTGTAAGTTCATTTATTTGCAATTTCGCATAAATTGACCTCCTTGTTTCACGAATTCCAGGAGTTTCTCAAAAGTGGAACTTTGGACGCATGCAATCGCATATTTGATGTGGTTGACAGGGGCCTAAAACCGACTTTAGTGTGCTATTCGGTCCTACTCTAAAGTATCATCACGATTCCATGCGGGTTAATGCCAATGTTCTGGTACATTGCGTTATTTTTTTGCTAGCCGAATCCAATCGCTTTTCAATGAAAGTGAGATTTTGAAGAATGGACAAAGCACTGTATGATGAATGCCACACTATAATATGGATAAATAGACGTTAGGGGAGCAGAATTCCCGTCATTAGTTCTAGAGTTTTTCTGTTTTGAGCTGTAGTGGTCCAGCCTTCATACCCAACGTACGTGAAGCCACCGAAAGGGCGTCATTGCGTTTTTGAATGTCCTTCATCTTATGTTTGTAGTTTTTGAATGATGAGCTGGCAAAGGGCTTCCAAATCTCGTAAACTTGGAACTACCAATACTGTTAGTCAAGGTAACGTAGAAAGTAGTGTCTGATATGCTCAATTCCTGCATCTCATAATGAGAACTAGTAACATTCCAAGGGCATATTTTTGAAGACCAGAATGCTTGTTTGATCATCTCATTTGAGATAGTCGTCGGTACTATTCGGGAAGCTAATTTCGCTTTTATGCAACTTTTATTCCACTCTCGCCTTTTATCTCCTAACTGCCTCCTCTCCTTCGGATGTGATCTTGTGGTTGTTTTGTGGTGACGAAGAGAGCTGAAGTTTTCGTAGTCTTGAAAGAAACTTTATAGGAAAAGTATGTAGACTGCAGGCGAAGACAATCATCAGAATCTGCAAGTATTCTCTAAACGAACAAGAGTTTAATGCCCATCTGAACGTAGTATATCCACCTCTGGATCATTAACTGCTTGATTCATATCACTTAATCAAAGTATGCCCCTCACCCTCCTTCCATCACAACCTACACGCCCTCCAAATACTCTGCAAAATATCCGCAACAAAGGGACGCACAGCTTTGGGACTGAGTGAATTTTGTTCAAGAAGTACTAAGACTGGAACTGCGCTTGCCAGGTCCAATTAGTGTTCCATGAATTGAGGGTTTTAAAGTAGTGGACACATGTGTGTATGGACATCAGCAACCGGCTGCACTTGGCATGCCTTTACGAATTAAAACAGGTGGTTCAGCACCATAGATGGGATGCCGTGCCCTGCATCCATGTGCTTCGAAGGAAGTGGACGAAGGTGAAAAGTGGGTCATATAGTTTTGTTCAAACCGTAATTTTTCTTCTCAACTGACGGCCCCGTTTCTCATCAGACCTTTCCAGTCCAGCAGACGCACCAAACTATAAAAGAGCATTTAATTTAGTCGAGAAAGTACATTGTATGCGCTCTGTGAATAAGTGACCTTTTGGTTAGCAAAATTGTGATGAAGTTGGACTTCTTGTTTCACTTGTGATAGTGTAATTGTTTTGTCCTGAAGTAAGGTACTGCATTGTTTGCTACTTGCCCTGATTGCGCATGTGACCTTGAATGGCTATTTTAGGACTGCGTCTTACCCCGATAATGAAGACTGTGACCTTTCTTTCTCCTATATGGCACCATTCAAGCATTGAATTAACCCGAAGTTGTCCTGTTAACAATGCACTATTGGGCTTCAAAGTGGCGGTTATAGTTCTGTGTTGTAGTTCATAGCATACAAATTTTTTATTCTTAGAATTAAAACTGACATCTGCTTAATTTCATTTACACGGAAGTAGCAAATTATAGGAAAGGGCAAAATTAAGGTTTCATAGGGAGGAAGTTTGGTTAGAATGGCCTGAAAATTTAATACTCAGCAATGCCAATGCCAGCAAAGCGTTAATTTCACTTCGGATTAAGGTCAACCTTTATATTTAAGGCTTTTTTATGGGTTCTGAGGTGCTGCTACTTACTGATTTCAGTAGGGTAGAGATGCATACAAAAATGGAAGTTGGTGAGCGAAACGTCTTTGTACTACTAGGATGCCTATGAGTAGTATAACTCTTTCCCCTTGCAGCTGGTGCCATATCTGCGAGCCAGGCAGCCGGATTTTCTCTCCACCCTGTTGCGTCACATTGAATCGCCGGCAGTCTGTGAATTGCTCATTGAAATGCCGCACCAGGATAACGGTCAGCAGCATGCTGTGGCTCAGGTAGGCTTGGCGTGCCACCCACTCTTAATACTGCTAAACTTGTTTGCAATCCTCCCGGCTCTTTATGTACGCTGCCTACATCTATACCACCCACAGACGGCTCCACTCTCCTCCAGCATCACCTGTGTGAGATTGATACTCGTTCGGTGTGGATCGTGTGATTGTGTGGTTTCACCGCAGCAGTGCTTTCTATTACTGGTGCGGCGCATAGCACGATGTGTTATAACTTTCAAAATATCACTACCATCGTCTTTCATCCAGGAAATTTTTTAATTTCCTATCCACTTGAACATTTCCTTAGAAAAGGCGGCGTTGAGTGGAATTCGTATAATTATTCAAGCTTGGTGTATTCATAATATTTTTATTTTGGGGTGGGGGGAGGGGAGTTTTCGAGTCTCAGGTGATTTTGATGTAGAAGTAAGGTTTTCCGTCTGCTAAATATTTTAACTTGTAGACCTCATTAAATATTAATCCTTTCTCACTGCTTCATCATGGCTTGAATTCAAGTACTTTCTTTACTAGTCTTCTTCAGTACCATGTTTGCGGTTTCCGACAGCTATTTTTTAGGATTCATGTTAGGTTATTCCTGCATTGTATGCACCTAAGGTCACTACTGCTTTCAGCTTACTGGAACATTTGGCCACTTAAGTTCTGACTGCTTCTGCTGGCAATGACTCATTCCTTTACATATACAATGGCACATTCGATTAGTTTATGTGTTTGTTCCCATTTTTAAACTGGCAGCTTTCATATACGGAGCAATTAATTGGGTCCCTTTTGACTTTTTGCAACTTAAATAATTACTAAGTTCCTGGAATCGTTTTGTCTTTTGGCCTATTAGGAAAAGATTGAGGTTGGTCATTGCTTTTCGATCATCGGGGAACGGTACAAATGCTGTTCGCTTGTATCGTCCGTATGATTACACCAGTCGTAAGGGCGGGTACGACTTTAACCCTCTGGTTTAGGAAGTTTAGTAGGCAATGGTATTCATTTACTCTGCGATTGGTTCGGCTTTTCAATCCTAATCAGCTTCAAGCAGTATGTTTCTTCTTCCTACTGTTGCCTCGTTACCTCCCGGTTGATCTTTTGCCCCTACTTTAGTGGTTCCTGGATTGTGACATTATCAACAAACTCCTGGATATCCTTTCGCCGAAGGAAACGCCGGAGGTGAGTTCTTGCTACCTTGATTAGCCCGCTACGATAAAATAAATCTTTGGAGGTCATTTTGATGGAATTTCAAATCAACAAGTTTTTTAGGCAAATGAAATTGTGAATGCCCATTTGATGAAGCCTCTCGAATTTGAACAGAAGTTGGTGTTGGAAGTGAGATCCGATGCAGCAATTGTAACCGACCTCAGATTCCTCGAGCTCATAGTCTTAGCATTTTTCTTGGCTCCTTTCCATGCTTAGAGTATCAGTTAATTCCTAGTAGCTATTGGTATGGGATAGATTTGCTCTCATTCGCTGGTAACAGTGACTTCTCGTTGACACTGCACATGAACGTGTCCTTCAGATCTATTTACTGCCACACAAGGGAAAAGTGATTCTCAGGCTCTACACCTTGTAAAGGTCTGCCATTTAACTCACCTGCTTCTCAAATTGGTATAGACGTAGTTAGTGCCAAATCAAGAGATCAGACGTGCATTCTCTATTATCTAGGTCTTAGCCAATCTGTTTGCAGCACGCCATTTGGTGTGCGTGACAATAGTGGTGGAAGTGTTGATTAACTTCCACTTGTACTGGTTGCGTTGTTGAAATTGTGATGTTGCTTACGACAAGGTCTTCAATGCATGATTGCGATGATTCACTTAGGCGTCAAGACATAAAGTAGTCTTTTTTTTGGAAGTAGCCACTGGTAGGGCATGAAGTCCCACTTTCCTTTGGGAGTTCTGTCCAGGTTGTCTTTTTTACCATTCCACCTCCTTTAGCACTTGATGTGCAGCTTCAAATAAATTGTAGGCTAAAACTAATCGGCATTAGGCTGGTTGTTTCCATTATAGATGGGCTCGGCTGCATTTCATTTGAGCGCACTAAGGTCTCACACTGAAACTGGTGACGTTGATGCTTCTTTCCATTTCAACAGCAACGCGTTTTTATTCTAAAATGTGATTGCTTTCTTAAGTGGAAAGTGAATTCAGGTACGCTGTGTATCCAAAGTAATGGAAACTTGAATTTACCCGCGTTACTAATCGTTGCAGCCCAGGCTTCTTGTCTATTTGATATTCTCGACATTTAGAAAGCTTTGTAACATGCATCTTCGGCGAAGAACGACTGCTCCATTACGGAAAAGCGCAAATTTTTGTTTTGCTCGTGAAAGTTGCAGGGATAAATGATAAGACCTGTTTACACAAGCGCAACATGTACTGCGTGATCAAACGGGTTCGTGGAGTTCTTGATGTAGCTCACTCCACCGACTTGGTGTAACACGTAGTAAATTATAAAGTACGCGTATTCGTTTATTTGTCTGTGGGTGTTCTTAATTTGTGCCCCGAGTGGACTGCTGGACTTGAATGAAAGGATCGCGGTCAAGAAAACCATCTTAATCAAGATAATTCACTGTTGGAATATCAAGGTCTTCCATTGATATTTAACTGCCGTGTGAGTGGTGGAACAATTTGTTTACACCCGGATCAGTTTCTACTGCAAATCTGTGAAACACTCATTAATGGATGTAAACATGTTGTCATAGCTGTTAATATGTCTTCTACTTCTTTTACGCTTTTAACACGTGTGCACCGAATAAGTGAGCAGCGACTTTTGCATCCTACTTCAGCATTCGTTAGGCAGGTGAACGTGATAATGTCAACTCCCAATCCTACCATCGGAGACGTCTCTTTATCCCCAAGACATCTGGCTGAATCGTTTGTGGTGTACAACAGCCATAATTGTTACCTCTTCATATGGCTGGTAACATTGTGGCTGCGACCGGTCTGTTCACTTCACCACGAACACGTGCCAGTAGAAAACTTTAGAAACAACAAGGCGTAGTTGGTCAGGAGTACTAACACTTTGTTCCCATCAGGCAACTCAAGAGCTCATGCAGCCCTAAAACTTACTTAAGGAGATGATGAGATGAAGAGAGAAGTGGTGCTTTACTTCTTCCTAATACTCCCTTAATGCTACTTCTTCATTTCTTTGCCAACTTTACTTGTCGGCATTGAATAATCACAGGGAAAGTGTGGTGGCTAGAGCTAGACTTTTAATTATTGGAGAAAAAGTTGTAGGAAGTTTGAGGAAGATTCGTGCATGGGCTGTTATTAGCCCTTTTCAAGAATTTTTCTGTAATCATATGGCTTTGACTGTGGAGTTCTTACTTGATCACCCATGCAGTACGATGCAAAGAAGCTGTACTTGTTCCATTTTACCAGCGCGGAAGGCCTTTCGCTCTGAACAGGTGTCACTTCTGACGACCCAACTTATCCTGTCTAACCCCTAGTTGCGTTTGGAGAGGAAATTCTCATTCACGCATCAACAACTGACTGTTAGGATTTCCTTTTGTGTTCTTAAGTTTCACTATTTCCTCGGCTTTTTGGCCAGTTCAGGTAAAACTGGGCGTCTTGCTGCATTAGCCTGTAAAGAAGGCTCCTAACCATCGCAGGGCCATCAAACTGCATGCCTCCTGCTACTTCGTTTTCGTCTGAATCAGCATTAATAAAATGTTGTGGTCTTTAATAGTTGGGTGGGCAAGTGAAAGAGCGAGGGAAGGAAATAAATCGTTGGGAAAAGTTGCTTTGCACGTCCCAAAGCCTGTCTAGAGTATAAATAGCCTAAAGTCTGTGCGCGTTTGTTTAGCAGTGAAAATTTATCCCTAGGAGTAAATAAAGCTTATTTTTGAACTTAGTGTGTGTCTCTTTGTGTTGGGGTGTTGCAATTTGCCTGGTTAATTCGACATTCTGCGAGGTTCGCTTCACTTGCTTTGATAATTTCTCCACGGAGAGTGAGTACGCTGGAGGCATTGGCGGTCATACATAATTTTTAAACTTCATTCCTCTCTACGTGAACGTTGATGCTCCCGGTCTCGATGTTTAGCGTTTCTGTTATCCTAGTAGAACTTTCAGTAGCTTGGAATTAGTTATCATTCACTTTGGCGTCATGAGGGTATGGAGTAAGTATTGAATCTTCGTAGTAGTCAAGTCGTCGGTTGTTGCTTCTATTGCG